ATATATATATATATATATATATATATATATATATAATTTCTTACGAAATGACGTTATAAAAATATAATAGTAAAATATGTCATAAAGAGTTTGAACATACATTTGTCATCAGAATGTTAGATTGGAGAAGCCACTAAAATAGCTCCTTTGTTGTTTATTCCAAGCATGGTAAATTATTAAACTGTCAATTTCAAACACCAAATATGTAAAATATTTGGAATATGATCTTTGTTGCACCAATCAACTCAAATTGTGACATCATATATCTTTCTCTTACCATTAAACAGCTGAAACAAAGGTACCATTTTTTAACTCCAAAGTAAAAACTGCTCCTTCCAATCAAATAACTCACCAATAATTACTGTCTAGGTGAGACTCTCTCAGTAGCCATGAAAAAAAAAACACAGTATCAAGAACAGACAAAGTAACATTTTGAAAAGGAAACAATGTATGTGTAAAACTTTTTGTCATTAAATCCTTACTACGCAGGAAACATGCTAAATTAGTCAGAGAATCATCATAAACAGACCAATGAATCCAATGGTCCATAATCTACCAACTATCAATTAGATTGTGGTTGAAAAATAATCCCTCAGCTTCACTTCTATCACTAAAAAGCAAACCAAATTCCTAGAGTGTTATAATTGAACACTAAAAGTGACCAACATCACCTATAAAAATATTGAACAGTAACACTAAAAAATACTTTTTAAATTTAACTCAATTTTATAAAATTTGTTTGTAAAATGAGATTTTTTTTAGTTATATAATGTAAAAGTATTTATTTCTAGTTAATTTGGTATTTTCAAACTCAGTATCTTTAGTAATATGATAATATAATAGAAAATAAATCTTATCAATGTATGTGTTTTATGGCTGTGAAACTTTTTTCGAAAATGAATTTTAAATCTAATTTAATTCTATAAAATCATAAGATATAGTTTATAATTACATATATATTATATATCTTATCTTTAGTTGATGTAAGATTTTGAATAGAAAAAATTAATCGTTTGTGACTAAAATTGCTTGTGCCATATGATCTCTCTCAAATTTTGTAACATCCTTTAAAATTCATATATTATGGTATGCTACCAAAAAGAAAGTATTTGATCAAGGCCCTTGAAGTGCTGCCTTATGGACTAGCTCAGTCTGCTAGACAACCTTAAACCAATTAGCATTTATTCAGCCAATCCAATTTGAAGCATAAGAACACCGTTTTGATTGAATGTTGTAAGAGAATCCTATACATGATTCGTTCGGTGGGAACAAAAATTATATTTGGTGGTTAGGAGAAGAGCGAACTTAGTCAAAACCAAATACACCTGTCTTCCAAAGGATAGATAAACCACCTGCCATGTTTTCTTTAGTGGTTGTGAAATGTTTGTGTCGTATTCCTCGATCAAAGAAAATACAAGAATTTAATGAGGCATCTACGCTAATGCTATGAAATAAGCAAGAAAAGACACTTTTTGCATGTGTTTGTTTAACAAATCTCACTAACTTCCCTGGCTGCTTAGGCTTAGGGATCATAATTGTCAAAAAATAATGCCATTGAAAGAAAAAGGGCTGATCACTGTCTCAACGAACTCTTCCTTATTAAACAATTCCATTGTCCTACATGGAATTCCATTTCCAATTATGTAAAAGGATTCCATAATCCAAGCAAGAAAACCTTCTCCAATTTCAAAACTACCCTATGAGGACTTGTACTTATATATGGCCTCAGCAGGGCATTATGTAATTTTCATTTTTAAAAGATGCTAACCACTTGGTCCCCACTCTGCCTTTCTGTCTTGTAGGATTCCTTGTCTGCAAGTTTTTTGGATTCTTTTCAACCTTTTCGTTATTTTCCTTCTTTTGCCCCAAAAATCTGAACCCTTGCACGGCTCAATATCACTTCCTTTTTACATCCACTGCTTGGACATTATTAACTTCACCCACTTCAACTCTCTACCTGCTCTTCAAATCTCAAATAAAATACACAAGATAATATAACATTACTTTCCGTGGTGTAAGTTTCACGTCGAGTAAATTTATAATATATAAATAGATGTAAATCTCACTTTATGTTTTATAAGGTTAAAGTAAGCTTAAATTCACTCCATATAGAGTTAGGTCAGAATTTAGACTAATTTATAATATATAAGTGGATCCAAACATAAGCTTAACTCTCTTCGTCATCAACCCTTTTAATTTAACCACTCAAAAACAACACGTGAATTAGCTTATTGATTGGTTTTCCATTTCTGAAAATTCTGTGACCTTTCGCTCCATGGACAGGTTACAGGTTCGTCTTAATTTTCATGAAGGGTCACCAAGATGTATGGAATAAATGAATAGATAAATAAAAAGTTAAATATGTTATACTAAGCATTTAATATACAACAATACTCTTCTGGGGTTAAGACATTTAGCTGAATTTTCCATTCACCTACTCCTCATCACTACCATATCAGGCGCAAGTGAAGTGGTTGATGGCTTTTTGAACAGTTCTGGCAGGCAACATATTCATGATTACACTCGAAAGGTAAATGAGTGTTAAAGCAACATTTGGTTGACAATGTCTCCAAATTGAAAGCTGAATATTACTTCAGCTTAGGTATGATGAGGGAGCATATATAGTGGAAGAAATGGAACTTCCCATTACCGCCTAATTCTGCTTTCTGGTAATTTTCCTAAGTGGGCATTTTGGTAAACTGGGTTCAGAGTGCTGCGATGCACCCAGAGTCAAAAAGGTATAATCTTTGGTGTAGACCAATGCCAAGTAAATCACTTTCAAAGTGATAACTCAATGACTGAAATCAAAAAATGAAATTTATCACTGAGTTTAGATTGACTTTTTCAAGAGATGTATTCTCATATTTTGACTGCAAACTAAGCAAGAATGCAAAAACTACAAATGGTAACTTTTTGCTTAACATGGAACCAATATTTCAAGATGCTTAACCAAACAAACACACACCATTTACCCTTAGAATTAGAAAAAGGAATCAGGATTATGTGGTTAAAAGTTACTTATCTCAAACTCTTGTACCAAAAAGGAAAATTACTCCTGTCTCTCTCCTCTTCACATGTGCTCACCGTTAGTTTTCTTATGAGAACAGAGACAAAGCTCACTTCATTGGGTTTGAGACGTGCCCCTTTGTATCCCTCATACCATTTTCTGGTTCTCCAATTTCTCATTCTTACCACAGATAAATAATAGCCATCAAACCAAATCCAGCCGTTGGATGCCTCCACTTGAAAACTCGTTTTGTTCTTTTTCTGTTGTCTATTAAAATTTTCAATAATATCAATAATATTATAGTGCATATATTATCTTCTCGGCATTTACATTACATGCTCCACTCTGTTCTTTCCTCTGTTGTGCCTCATGGCTGCAACTGCAACCGCAAAAAGTTTATAGAACCATAACAACCAAAGCGTCAACGGCAACAACCCTGACATAACAAGGGAAGAAATCCAAACCGCCATAGCCAAAGCAGTGGAACTAAGGGCCCTTCATGCTGCATTAACCCAAGGAAGTAGTCCAGGCACAACCAACGTCAGATTCCCATCACCTTCCTCTGCTTCTCACTTCTCTGCCCAAGATTACCCTGTTTTCACACCAGTAAGAATATGTAATTTGCTTCATTACTTTTTGGCATTCAACTTTGTAGACAGCATGAAATTTGAAATGAAAACATAAAGCGAGAATTGGGTTTGACCTTTTTCTTTTAGCTTTTCATGGAACATTAAAAATTGTGTCTCAAGTACTCAACTTTTTAGGACTTTTGCTCTTTCTTGCTTTTTCATTTGGAGGCATAGATCATGTATGCTTGCTTTTATGTTGAACAATTAGTCTCTAAACGAGAGAATCGTTGACAGAGTTATGAAGACGAGACACATCAGAACCCAACAAGGAGCAGAACAATATCAGAAAGTTGGGATGAGAATGGGGTAGATGGAGGGAACAGCATGGCTCCCTCAGATTACAAGGAGAAATCAAGTTCTAGAAAGGGGCTAACTTTTGGATTTGGCAACCATGACTCTCACACGTGTCCTGCTGATGATAGCAAATCTGTGAGTGGTTCTTGTGCTAATCATATCACTGTTCTCCAAACATCGCCTGCAAATGACTACTTCAAATCCAGGAGGAGAAACAGTTCGGGGGATTTGAGGCCTTTGTCTTCCTGCAATAGGTGCAATCCTGCTGTCATAACTACTGAATATGAGAACACAAGGAACACTAGGAGCTCCAACATTGTTGTCCCCCTCACAGATTCTCATGCTTCTTTTCAAACCCAGCCAAAAAATAAAGGGGTGATTTCCTGGTTGTTCCCCAAGTTCAAGAAGAAGCATAAGAATGTGAGTTCCCCAGCTAGAACAGAATCTGAGGAAGTCTCTCAGGTTCTCAAGGACATGAGAATAATGTCAGTTGAGGCACTGAAGAGGGAACTGATGGAGGCAAATGAGACTAGAGATTCTGCCTTGATGGAAGTTTCTGAGATGAGATCTTCACTGGGGGACCTTAGACAAAAGCTTGAGTATTTGGAGAGTTACTGTGAAGAGTTGAAGAAAGCTTTGAGGCAAGCAATTCTCACCAAAGAAACCACACATTCTGAAAAGTTTAACAACTCTCCCCATAAAGGAACACCCTTTGATGGAAATGGAGAAAATTTGATGCCTGTAGGTGAGGATGTTATGATAGAGGGCTTCTTGCAGATAGTGTCAGAATCAAGGTTATCGGTGAAGCAATTCTGCAAGACCCTTATATGCCAGATTGAAGAAACTGATCAATCATTGATGGACAACTTGAACTTGCTCCTCCAACCATATAGACTCTCCTTGAATTCCAAATACTCAAAGGCAGTTTTATACCATTTTGAAGCCTTCATAAACCAGGCCTTCTACCAAGACTTTGAGAACAGTGTGTTCCAAAAGAATGGCTGCACAAAATTCCTAGACCCTCGACAGCATCGTCAAGCACAATTCTCATCGTTTGTTGCACTTAGGAATTTGAGCTGGAACGAGGTGCTCAGAAAGGGGACTAAGTATTACAGTGAAGAGTTTAGTAAATTCTGTGACCAGAAAATGAGTTGCATCATCACTACACTGAATTGGACTAGGCCTTGGCCTGAGCAACTCCTTCAGGCTTTCTTTGTGGCAGCAAAGTGCATATGGTTGCTACATTTGCTGGCCTTTTCTTTCAACCCTTCATTGGGAATTTTAAGGGTTGAAGAGAACAGAAGCTTTGATCCTCACTTCATGGAAGATCTGGTTGCTGATAGACAGAGATCACAAGGTTCAAACAGGGTTAAGATCATGGTGGTGCCAGGCTTCTATGTTCAGGATAGGATCTTGAGGTGTAGAGTTATTTGCAGGCACAAATCTGCACCCTAAACTAATGTAACTTGGAGATTGGTTTAATTCCACTGTTTATTATAGTTCATTCTCCCTTCTTTAAGCAAGTTTGTAACTATCCAAATGTATGCAGTAATAATGAATGATCGTTCAAAATGATTACACCTGTTACTAACCAAATTTTGTGTGCTGTATAATGAGGAGGTTGATCCACAAAATAATATAATAGAAATTATAGAATGTTCATATAGGATCAACTTAGATTCATTATACTTATTTATATTTTTCATTCATTATTTTTTTATTCACTTATCGATTTTAATTACTTTCATTTATAGATGATCTTTCTACCTTAGTTCAGATTTAGAGAGAATGAAAAACACTTGTCAGAGTTTAGTCAAAAGATGTTTAATTTTAGGAAAAAATATTTGGTTATCCAAGGAAACAACAGATAATTACTTCTTAATATGTAAACGTGTTATCGTAATCTTATATGATAAGTTTGATTTATCAGCTTCTATATTTTAAAATATCTTGATGCAACAAACTCATAAAAGAAAAAGGTAATAGGTCATATTCATTTTTGTTAATTTTTTTCAAGTAATTATTATGTTATAAACAATTTTTATTATTATTTCATATATATATATATATATATATATATATATATATATATATATATATGTCGTTTTTTGCTTTTTCCTAACAATAGATGTTAGGTTCTTGAATTCTTCTCCAATCATTAAATCTGAGTGAGAAATTTAAAAAATTTAAATTTACCCATGACACAAAATATCTCAGTAGGTTTCAATAGTACAAGAACCTTAAAATCGGGGTACATTCTTATGGAATTAATTATCTTGTAAATTCAAATAACTCGTTATTTTATAAAAAAAGTAGAATATAAGAACACGACTTATTATCTATAATATAGTATTTAGTTACATTATAACTTTTCAATAATATAAACAATGTCGCGAAAGTTTATATAATAAGATATATAGATATATTCGAACTCACTTCAAGCTTTATATTTGCTTTTTATTTACTATTTCATTTTATTCACTTATTTACTTCCAATTAAGAAATGCTATTTATAAATCAAATTACATCTTTTCTGTTAGTGATTAAGAATTTAAATGACCAAGTTGCATGTTGGGGAAGGGTGATGTGTGTATTATTATAAATTAAAAAGTTCGGTCCCGGTAACAAGAGAGAATGATGCTAATAAACAAAGAACATTTTCAACATATTCAAGTTAAGTTACTGTTAAACAGACTTTTCTCAAGCTGTGATGAAGAAGAGGGAGAAAGGTATGGTGATGACAGAGTGGGAAAAAGCTGCTCTCAAGAGAGATATGATAAGGAACATCGTAAATGGTGAAAGATTCCTTGTGGGAAATCTATTAGGGACCACGAATCAGTTCTTAATTTGGTCTACTCTTCCTAAAAGTAATCAATATTTGTTAGTTCACAGGGCATATGGCTTCTCTTAAGAAAAAATAAATAATAAAAATGAGCATCATATCTTAAACCTGACTCCAATTTTTCAAAGTAAGAAAAAATTGATAGGGATTATTTTTTTTACATTTTTTTGTTAAAACATCATGAGGATTACTTTTGATTCTTTGTTTTTTTGTGTTTCTACATTCTGGCATATCAAGTATTGGAAGTCTCAATGTGGTAACTTTTAGTCTTTTTAAAATATCATTTGGTTCAAGGCATCGTGTTTATTTTAAAAGTTTCCACAACCATTGGTCACACAAGCTGGGATATACTAAACGGAATTCACATCTTATTTCACGACCATTATGCTCGTATAGAAAGGGAATCTGAGAGGAATCAATTGAGAGAAAGAAATTTAAGAAATATTTATTGATGTGATTTTTGGGTAAAGTTTTGTAATGTTGGAGTTGATAGAAATAGTAAGTTAATTTGATTTCATTTGTTTGTTTATAAACAAAGATGAAGTATATTTTGTACATATAGTATGGTGTTTGAGCATGCTTTAATTTTTCTAACATTGTTCAACAAGCCTACTTTAGAATTAAGAAATTAAATGCTCGGTTCCAAAATGATATATTTACTGCTAGTGAACATTCGTATTTATGTTTTGTGACTGAGTGTTATAACCCACGGCCGAAATATATTAACACGACACAGTATCAGTAAATTGTGCAATTTTAAAGTCCAATCTTCGTTGATGATACACAGTATACAAGGTGAGTCGGTTAAAGAATTAAAGGGATTACGCTTATTCTTGTTTTTTTGTACATTAGTCTATAGGAAAATCCACAATCATAGGTGGAATGTCTCCCTCTACACTGATGTCTGATTGATTGCTATCCTAGACAGATTAACTGTGCATTACTGTCCTTTTGCACTCTCAGATCCCTTCCGAAGGAATTTTGCTGCAACGAGTGAGAGAAGCATAAGACACGTCACAATGAGACTTGAAATAGTGACATTCAGAAAAGAGAAGAAGTTGCTCCCACCTACAAGCTCAAGTCCTCAGGTAAGCTGATACTTAGAAAATACAGGCTGCACACCCAGCAATGTTAACCAGATGAGAACTCAATAGCAAAAAGGTGATAGAGATACAAAAGGTCTAAAATTAATGTTTTGACGCGTTTGTACCGAATCTGATAACACAAACATTTTAGAAAGGAAGATACTAAAGAGATACCGGTGTCTGCACATCCACGAGAACACTATTGTTTCTAATTACTACTTGCTAATTAATATGCATATTAGTTTACTCGCCTTGATAGATAGAGATGTGACAGTGGGCACTTTTATGCATTAAATATCTTCCCTACGTAGGAATAATAAAAGAAAATATATCCTCAGCTCTTGAAAAACTATTTCATCAGAAATGAGATTCTGACCTTGCAGACATGAAAGCCATTCCCAAAAAGACAGCCTTAACAGATTGCTTTTGTCCCGCATAATCAAAAGCCAGAGGCAACATTTCATGAAGGGTCAAAAAGGCCATAACTCCACCAACTGTAATTAATCATCATAGAATAAATCTGGATAATAACATAAATTCTAAAAATCTCATCGTGACATCTAGATCATGTATCATTGCATACCTGATCCGAGTAAACCTTCCAGAATCTCAGGACTTAAGCTGCTAGGGAATAGATAGGCTACAGTGAGAGAAAATAAATCATCACAATTAGTTCGACTACACAATTCAAACATATATCTAAGAAATCTTGAGGGCCAAAAAAATAATGAAATGTACATACTTAAAACATAAAATCCAACTCTGGAGTACAGATAGAGATTCAATGGGTAAGGTCAAACACTTGAACTGGGTAAGGCATACCTTACCTGACCCCTAATATTGAAGCATGGCATGCTTCATCATCGTTATAATACCACATCACCCTAATTCTTGCTTTCAGGTTCTTTAAAAATAAAATCAAAGTCTATTGAGCCAAGCAACATAAATCAGATGATATACCTACAATTATCACTCCCAGGGGTTCAGCGAAGCCAGAAAGTGATGCTAATTTGAATGCCTGCCATTTACTAGGATACATGCAGAATGAAAAGGTTATTATTCAATTTAACATAGTTATTTCCTAGCAACAAGAATAAAGATTTGAGATTAAGCAATTATTTCAGCAGTTATTATACTACAAAAGGACATCAAAATATACACTGTAACCCAATTTTCATAAGAATTTATCTTGATTTGTATATATAGGTACCGGCATTTAAGTCCGAACAAATCCTCAAGCTTCTTGACCTTAAGTAAATCTCTTTTTCTGTTGCAGAGAAAGTGAACAGAAAAAAACCTTCTACCGTAAAACTATATAGCATTATCGCCACAAAATGAAAGGTTTTGGTTCACAAAATAGCCACCCTCTCTTTGTCACCATCATACACTACGACCACTACTGAACCTAAATAAATAAACCTAAAATATTAATCATATACATCAGCGCAGACAATTGAGATTCCAGAATCATATACTCAGAGCAATATTTTCCCTCTACAGTCTGTTTTTATATAAATGGATCAATATTTCATGCGCATGTTTCAGCAAGAGTATATAGGACATAAACCCTTTACGCTTGAATATAACCACTGTAATTTGTCAAATGTAATTACAACAAATACTGGAACCAACAAGAGCCCTTAAGATCATTATTACCTTTGCGTCGCAAAATAAACAGGAAGTGCAACAGCAACACCCTACAAAACAAAACATCGATAAATTACAATAAAACATATACAGCATTTTAATTTATTTTTTTCAGAATATAATGTGCGTAGTAAAAGATGCCAAACTTCAAAAATTGAATTAAAAATAATAATATAAAGACAAAAAAAGCATTAAGGATTATAAGGAATCACTTCATTATTAATTTAACTGTATCTAGAGTAAACAGTCCTCACAAGATGAAAGTTTATACCTCTGGGATATTGTGCAAAGCAATGGCTAATGCCAAGTTGATGCCAACTCGGAGGCCCTGTTGAAAAAGCATATCACAAACATCAAGACATGACATTGACAAGTATATCAGGGAGGAAGTAACATGAATAATGCTTCAACAATTAATGATAATGTGACAGATCGATAAGCACATGCAATCAATAAGTTCATATACCTTCATGGATCCAAGGAACACTGCCATTCCTTCTGGAAAATTGTGCAAACTTATGCCTAGGAAATGCACAGAAAAAAAAAAGTAACAGGTAGAACTCAATGAAACAGTGAAAACTAAGAGAAGAAGAATAATGAGAATTGAAGTTGATCAAGTCTCACAAGGAACTTTTAACTACTGAATACGAAACTCCGAGAAATTCAAAAGAAAATTATTTTCATATTTCTCTAATATTTTAGTTCCAGAAAGAACTGCATTGTAAGAAAAATATAGGTTTGAAACTACCCGGACAAAGGGTTCACATCACAATCATACCTACGGCTGTAACAATTCCACTGAATAAAACCTGCCGGCGATGCTTTTTCAAAGTATCCTTGCCTCCATCATCCCCATTTTTCTAATTTCAAGCATGTCATCACATCTATCAAAATATATACCTGTGTAGATATTATACATAGCAGCTCCAATGCCGCTTTGCAAAATCAACAATACAGAGGCAGCATTTATTTGTAAGAACAAGTTCATTAAAAACCTTTCTGCCTTTGACATCAGAAGTGGGAGCAAGAGTTGGCTCTGGGATAAAACTGGCCACAACACCAAAGAATATCACCCCAGCAAAAAACTACATGAATGAGAAGATAGACATTTGCTCAGAACTAATATGAGAGAAGACGAACAAAAGAATAAACAATTGCTACTTTATGATGGTGGCAGAAGCACACATCCTACCCAAAGGTTGCCTTTCAAGAAGCCCAGTGAGTTCAAAGCATTGTGAGCCAAATCAAAGAACGATATGCTGAGCATCAAACCAGCAGCAAAACCCTTCATGCAGTGGAATAATTTCAGAAAGCATACTTGAGTAAGCTAACCAACAAATGGAATTTAGAAACAGTGGGATGTAATGATTACAAATCGATCAATAAATTCTCATAACTGAAGAAAAAAAAAACAAAAAAAAAAATCGTGACCAACTAAAACCACCTGTAGTAACCCGAGCATCTTCAAATTGGGAGCTTGATTGACAATCACAAAAAGCGCACCTGTTTAACAACAAACAACAACTTGTTACGATTACGCACAAAAAAACTCAACGAAAATACACTTCAAATTCAAAACACAGATAGATAGCAAACAACTGAGGACAAGTTTTTATCAAGAGCAGGAACTAACATAAATAAACAGATAAATAACCAATTGAAATAACAATTAGTATTCTGAAAGTGTGAAAAACAGTCTACAAGACGTTTGCGACAATAACACAACAAATAAGCAACTGAAACAGCAATCGGCAATCCAAGAGACTTCACTGACTCACTAATAGGTCTAAACTGACAATGCATGACACAATAGGAATGATGAAGGTAAGTGAAAGAGCAGAGAAATGTACCGATAGAAGTACTGACGCCACCAACAAGTGAAAGAGCAAGAGCTACTGCAACCTGAGAATCCATGCCTCGACAATGTTAGGTAAATTTAGCGTTAGGGTTCTCTTTGATTGGGTGACCTAATTCAACGAACGATTCTTATGAACTAATTTCCAGAAGCAGAAGCCAGTGACGATGATGACACACCCACTCACTGAACTCAACCTTACCCCATGAATGAAGCATGCCGTATATATATTTTATTTTTATTTTATGTTAAATTAATATTCGCTTTTTCCTTTTATTTCGAGGTGTATTGGTAAATAAATGCTCATAACTATTCTTTAGTCAGCACAAACGTCATTGCTCACGAAAAAATTTACCCCAGAATGATCACTAATTTCTAAAATTCAACGTTGCAGTTTGTTTAACCTAACATATTTTTTTCTTAATTAAGTTTTAATTCTTTAATAAATTTGAAAACTTTTAATTGAATTTTTCTTCATAAATTTAATATTTTAAATTGAATTTTTATTAAATTTTTATTATATGTTGAATATTAAATAATTTAAAATTTTTCAAATAAATATTTGATGTTAGACTTTTTTGTTTAATTAAACTATATGACTATTATTATGAAATTATAAATTACAGAATAAATTGTAAAATTACTTGTAATGGAAACTAAACAAGATAAGATAAGAAGACAAAATAACAATTATTTTACACGGTTAATAATATTATAATAATATACAGTCATATCGTGTCATTAAAAAAAATTAACAATAATATTTAATTAAAAAGTTTTAAATTGTGAAAATTAAACAAAAATTTAATAAAAACTCAATTCAAAATTTTTAAACTTATCTGCACATTGAACTTAATTAACTTGTTTTTCATTGAGTAATTTTAAAAAAATTGCACTGTTGATTACTTTCTACAAATTAAATTTATCTACTCTATAACAAGTATTTTGGAAGTATTAATATAATGTTTTTAAAATTATTGATGACATGGAATAATTTAATAATAACATTAAATTGAATAAAAATTGAAAACAAGTTATTTTATTATAAAATTATTGATGGTGTTTACTATGCTTATTTTACTAATCTGAAAACGGCGTCAAAACAAAGCAAGAGAAGATATTTGAAGATGTTCTCAGTTGGAAAGTTGGAAGCAACAAAATAGATTATTCCTTTTATTTTTTAGGTTTAATGTCTCGGTAGGTCCCTATAGGTCCTTTTTCTTTTCGGCGTCTCAATTGGGTCCTTCTCAATTGGGTCCTTTTTTGTGTAAAATTGGAACAATTAGGGGTCTGCCGTCAAATTCAACAAACGGTCGTTTAAATTTGGCCTACGTGGTATGGTGAGTGTATTCATTATCTGACGTGGATGAGTTGCTCGCGGCGTTGGGCTAAATTTGTTAGGCTTTCCTGGAAAACTCAAAGTCAAAGTGACTTACTAGCTTGTTGGAGCACACAAACTGATTGTGAAAATGATTGCCAAGTCCGTGGACAAAGCCACACCAGTGAATCTTGCCCAACATACTTACTGGAACCTTGGGGGACACAACAGTGGTAACATTCTTTCTCATCATGTTCAGATCTTTGGTTCACACATCACACCCGTGGACAAGCTTCTTATTCCCACTGGCGAAATCAGATCTGTAAAGGGCACCCCCTATGATTTTCTTGAACCAAAAAAAGTTGTAACCCACATTCGTAAGCTTCCGGATCTATATGATATGAACTATGTGCTGGACAAAAGTTTCCAAAATCAGTTAACCAAGGCTGCGGTAGTGAGAGACCCTGTCTCTGGGAGGAAAATGGAGTTGTGGTCAAACCTTCTCAGAATCACCCTTCCAACTCCATCCTTTTAAAAATAGCAGAAGCACCAATAGAATCACAGTTGAAAGCATAACCCGAAACCATAGTATTCCACGAGACTAGGCTTCTAACAGACATTCCATCAAACAGTTGGCGAGAATCCTCCATTCGCTCGTGCTTCCCATACTTACCCACGAGTTCATTTACGACGTGAAGATGATTCTGAAAACCCAGCTGCAAAGCATGACAATGGACAATCCTGCAGAGATCAGAAACAGCCAGAGACGAGCAGGCCCGTATTATCAAGGGAAGAGTGAAGCCGTCGGGAAAAATTCCAAGGTTTCGCATTTCAAGATAAAGTCGAAGCGCGTGTTGATGGTAGCCATGAGAGACATTGGCTCTGATAATGGAATTCCACAAAAGAAGATGATGGAGTCCCTCAACTGGGATTGCAGCAAACACTTTGCGAGCGTCAGAGAGAAAGCCAAAGCGGGCGTAAACGGCTATGAGGCTGGCGTCCAAGAAGGTTAAACGATGGGTCATCGATGCAGAGCAGTTGTTTGAGTACATAACAGGGAAGGAGGATGAAGAGGGGAAGTAGATGGGAGAAGGAGAGTAAGAAGTAGAAGGAAAAGAGGAGTTTGAAGGTGAGGAAGAAAAGGAAGGGGTTGAGGAAGGACTCTTCATAAAAGGTTCAAGAACGTCCATTAGTTCACCCTGAACGAATCTGAGGGAAGCTGAAACTCTGTGCTGTTGTAAAACCTGGATCGCGTTTCTGAATTTTGACTAGCGAATTTTGACACTAAAACCTGGATCTCGTTTCTTGGTGGGTTAAAAGACAAACCCAAAAATCTTAGTTTGAAAGACAGATGATTAACAGAAAGGGATTCAGAGAAGCGGGGTGTTGCAGAGAGTGGGGGAGAAGGAGAAGAAGATGAACCACAGAAGGCCTCATCATGCCACGTCACTCTTGGTTCTGCCACGTATTAAGTTCAAACTTTGCCACCTGTAAATAAAATGATGCCTCAGCATGCCACGTCAGATAATGAATACACTCACCATACCACGTAGGCCAAATTTAAACGGCCGTTTGTTGAATTTGACGTCAGACCCCTAATTGCTTCAATTTTACATAAAAAAGGACCCAATTGAGACGCCGAAAAGAAAAATGACCTATTTGAGATTCACGCCAAAAATAGGGACCTACCGAGACATTAAACCTATTTTTTAATATATTCAGTTTCACTCTAGTCTATGGAAGCATATTACTTTTTACAATAAATAAATCACTAGTTAAAATCTTGAAATTTTATTCTTAAATTATTTTACTTTCTAAAATCGCAGAAAAATACTTTAATACTCTTTTTAAACATTTTCGGAACCTGTTAAGTGGATTGTTAAGAAACAAATTGGTTTTGATTTAAAAATTAATTTTTAATATTTAACATTTTAATTATGGTTTACGTTCGATGATTTTCGTTTACAATAAATGAGTTTTTTCGCACTTTCCAGCTAAAAAATACTGTGATATTTTCGTTAGAGATTACTTATTTTAATCGCAAAAAAATATCAAATTATTTTAACTTTATTTCAAACTTTAAGATACTTATTTTTGGTAACTATTATAGCAAATAAAAAATTACTTTTACAATTTCTTATATGTATTTTAAAAAAAAAAACATTATCATATTTGGTAATTAAAATGTGAAAATAATAAATTTTTTCAATCATATATGTTAGATTATATTTATATTTGTAAAACCCAAAAAATGATATTTTAGTAGTGGTTGTGGTTTGAAAATAGTGATACTCAGATATTTTAATATCTAATGTTAATGATTTTAATATAAATAGTTTTTCTGTGAAGGAGTTTCGTTATTTTAAAACAAAATCATTTTTTATAGTTGTATGACTTCTCTTTGAGGATTCTCGCTTTTCGTTTATGTTTGAAGATTCGAGACCACCTTAGTGATCCTCGTGGCGATGTCTTAAAGTCTAATCGGCCGGTTTCTACAAAAGAGTAAATCGGTTTCTACTATTTTCTTTAGTCTATTTTCCTTTGCATGCATGTCATTTGTGGTTACATGTGTCATATGAGTTTCCCATGCAATTTTTTGTTGATCAGTTGTTCTAACGGTGTACCATGAACGCGATTTTGTTGTTTGTAGTTGCAAATAATGTCCTTTGATATGTGAGAACTATTTGGGATTCTATAGGGTCGTTCGATTGTTTAATAGGTAAGAGAAGCTAAATACTTTGTTTTAAGTTGTAAGTACTTTGATAACATGAGTTTGTATGTTTAAGTTTAATTAAATTGACTGAGCTTGCTGAAATTCTATTAAACTGATGCATGATTGCGTGAATTTGGTTTGAATATATGTTGTTTGATATTGAAAGAACCTTACTGTGATTGTTGGTTGAAGGTGTTTTGGATGCTTATACTGGTGGGTTTGATGTTATAATTGGTTGAAATTTTCTGTTGGATTTTGATATAATGAAAGGTCAAAGTCATGGTTGGTTTTGGTCTAAAATAATGGGTTTTGACCGGTGAAATTATATACGAGTTGAGTTATAAGTGAACTTGATGTTTGGGGTTTATTTTTAGATCATTTAGGATTAGTCTATCTTTTGAAATTGTTGCATTTTGGTTTGTTGATTTGTTATTTGGGCTTTTTGTGGTTTTTGACTTAATATGACAAATTGAATTGTTGGTCAATTGAACAAATTGGTATTCAATTTAACGTTTAAACATGTTTTATAATCAATTACAGAGTTAACAATATCAAATTGGTCATTTGAATAGGTTTTGAGTTCAATTAGATTAGGTTTTTGTGTTGTTGTCTTCTGATATGACGCTCAGTGGTGGCTTAGCGACGCCCAAGTGGAATAAATCTAAGGGGTTTGGCACTCAACAACAAAGAGGTGGCGTTCAAGCGTCAACTTTGCCTGAATAACAGTGCTCAACGGCAAGATGTGTCGCTCAACGCTAAGAGCCTTTGTTAAGCTTCTCTTTTTGCAATTCTTCTTGCTTCTATGGTCTTCGAATATTTGATCTGGCACATAAGCTTATTGTAAATGATCTAGATACACCAGAGAATGAGGATTAGTGATGAAAATTGAATCAATATAACTCAAGAAGTTTTCTATACTCTTTAGTGTATGTTTGTTTAAGATGTAATGTATAGTTTGTGATAAATTATGAATGGTAATGGTGGATGTGTATTTTGTTTAAGTATGTGATCAAAAGGAATTCCATGGGGAAAATTCTCATGTTGTGTTTTAGTGCAATGTATTGTTGTAGGGACTACGAAATGAGGAATGTTTCTAAAACTACAATATCCATCCAACCTCAAGTCGAGATGAGTGGTTATGTCGTGAGGAGTAGCGGGATATCCTTATACCAAGGTCAATTTGACCAAAAGTGTTTGACGGATTAACTTTGTGTAGTGGTTTAGGTGATATGTTGTTTTACCACACATGCGTAGGTCCTTAAAAATTTAACATTAATACATGTATCCGGATGGTGAAGTATATAGGGGAGAATTTATGACTTATGATTGATTGTTTTATCTTTGTTATATGTTTAATTTTATAAATGTGATATATGATTATTTTTTATATTAGTTTACCCTTCTTTTTTTCTTTATTTGTTGGTGCGTTTTGTTTCTTCTTTTTTTGCAATTATCACCTCTTAATGGTGAGAGCAGAAGATGATGTCTCTGGTAAGCAGATACTACAAGGAGATAAAGTTAAAATATAATATATGAAGTTTTGTTTTTTTTCCTCGATTTTTGTAAATATCTATTATATTCTTAGATTAGTGTAATATATCTTAGTAGTTTGGATATTGTATATATATTTTATTATTATAAGTTATATATGGATATACATAATAACATTTTATATATATATATATTTTGAATTAACTGTTTTGCACGATGAATTTAATGTAATATTATGAAAATTGGGATGTTACAATATTTAATCAATATTTATTTTTCAAGTATTTATTTTTCTGCATAGATTTTAATTGTATACATCTTGCACACTTCATATATGGTTTGTTAAACATTGTAAATGCTTCTGTTTAATATCCGATTTTAAAATGCTTCTATTTTTAAAGGTTGGAACATTGTAGGAAATGCAGAGGAGGGAGAAGAAAAAGTACACCCACATTAGCTGGGAGTTAACACCGTTTATGTCAGTTTAACGGAAGAAATCTAATTGATACAATTTATACTATTTTAGGATAGAATAGAAGTATTTTTAAAACAGATTACTAAGATTACTAATGAGAAATTAACGTCTAATATGGGAAAGGAAGTAATTATTTAAGTCTAAATTTTATATTTCACAGCTATGCCATATTACCTTTATTTATAAATAACAGTTAACTATTTATCTAATGATTTAGAGAGATTCATTGGTCCACGTTATCTCAAGCGTTATGCGTTGGACAAAGAAAAATTGCTTTCGTTAATTTCTCATATGAGTATTGCTTCCAACATATTTTACTTTTAAAATATTTTTGTACAAACAAAATTTTACCCAAGATAATCACAACATAATTTTTAAAAAAATTTAAGCACTCACAGATATTATACTCAACTCAACTCATGCTTTTTTTAGGAGTTTTAGTCAACACACAACTACTCTTAATTCAATGGGATAATATATTAAATCAAGCCTTATGTACTCTCTTATATATTAATTAAATGAAATATAATTCATATATGTTTACTTATGTCATGTGATACAGTTTATTAGCTAGATTTATAGTCCACTTTCTATTTATTGATATATTCTTTAAAAATGTATTAAGTAAGATAATTTGAAATTTTTTATTCCAATCACCGAATAGTGTATCTCATAGGGTGATAATACAACACATAACACCTCAAATATTATATAAATAATTGTTATGGTAATTTAAAATTGAGATTATTTCTTTATGAAATAAATTTTTCTCAAAGAAAACATTAATTATAATATAATTCCACACACACAACTTATATATATATATATATATATATATATATATATAATTATTTATAATTATTCATAGTATATTACAAAAATATATTATATACTTATCATAAAAAACTCAAGCCAGAGTCGATTTTTGCAGTCACTTGACCAAGTGTTTATATATTCTTTTTTGATTGGTCACATCACATTGTTAGGTTTTGGTAAAGGATTCATACACTACTCGTTTTTCATATTCACTTTACCAGTCAATAAATTAATATTTTATTAAGAAAAGTAGTTATAGAGCACAGACAAAAAAGAACCAATTCTGTTCAAACACGTAACCACTTCAATAGGTCAAAACTGTTGGCCACCTTTTGACAGAGATTGACGGAAGAAGTGTGGAAGAAAGAACAGTGAGGAAGAAAGAACAGTGAGAAAGAAAGAAAATGTCAGAAGAAAAAGAAGAGGTGCTGCTGTTTCCGTTCATGGCCCAAGGGCACATTATCCCTTTCCTTGCATTGGCCCTGCACTTAGAGAAAAGACAGAAGTACCATATCACCATTGTTAACACCTCACTCAACATACGAAAGCTAAGATCTTCTCTTCCACCAAACTCTTCAATCACTCTTTCAGAAATCCCCTTCAATCCCTCCCAACACGGTCTCCCTCCTAACACAGAGAACACCGACGCCATACCCTACAACCTCGTCATTCGACTCATCCAAGCCTCCACCACTCTCAAACCCGCCTTCACAAACCTCCTACGCTCCATCCTCCTACAAAACAAAAACCGCAGGCTCCTAGTCATCGCCGACATCTTTTTCGGCTGGACCGCTGCCGTTTCCAAAGAACTGGGCGCCTTCCACGTCATCTTCAGCGGCTGTGGCGGCTACGGCCTCGCCTGCTACTATTCCCTCTGGCTTAACCTACCCCACCGCCGCGTTGACCCAGCGCAAGAATATTTCACCTTGCC